CATGGGTATCGTAGCCCCATATTTCTCTTTCGAATGGTGAAAACCGCACCTCTCTATCTATCACCGTTCCGGAGCTATAAGGTCAACACTGACCGGCCATTCTATTTTGAAATGGATAGTAGTAACTCGTAAGAAAATAACGAGTAAAGAAACAGAAAAGTGACACCCCTATTCACAACTATTATTTACTGTTCAGGCCAGGGGGAGTTCAACAACCTGTTCCACACGGTTCATTAACGCCCGATCACCTATTAGTTCTCTATTACACTTGTCCATCGAAGTCAGGGAGAGTTCAACCAGTAGTACGCAACTGCAACTGCAATCTGACTCAAGGACTATTCCAGGCAATTTGCTCCGGTTTTACAAGAACATCCCAGAAGTTGATGAGATTATTTGGACTCTTTAGACTTCCAATTGTAAATTCCTCTGACATGTTTCTGTTGTTGCGGTGCTTAACAAGAGCTCTATAATTACTATTTTCAAATATAGATAGAACATATATAAGGTGCCAATAGTGCAAACAGGGAGCAGAATTTTTGTTTTGTTCTTTCTGCTATGATTGGATAGAGCCCATCGAGTTAGATGGAGAAAAGTCCACTTGAGACTTCATCTTTGGGTGGAAATTTTCAAAATGTTGATTTTTAAAAAGAGACAAAAATATATGAAATTCTGAGAAATAGTGTAATAATAATAATAACTGCACTTTCTCTTTTCTTGAATCTTGTGCACCGAAATGGGGGTGGTCAACCTCGAGTACATACTTGAATTTTCTTTAAAATCTTGTCAACATATAAGCATATAGGTAGAAACAATGTAGAACTCAAAAGACATAAAATTAAGTTTTCCAAAAGACTTTCGGAGAATCCCTAGGAGATCTCTGGAAAACTTTTCTTGACAAGTTAGGCTTTTAATTTGGATTTTTAATGTAAATGTTTCCCCTTATTTGATTGTGTAAAAGCAAAGGGGTAGTGCTGGAGTATAATACATTAAGACCTCTCTTTTCTCTCTCGTTTCACTTTCATTCTACTTAAGAGAAATATCTTCATTGTATTCAACCGAGATGTTTTCACTGTATTCATATTCATTGCGATCATGATTGATTTGATTTTCTCTTATGCATGAAAGAAAAATAGACTATCGGACTTGAGCAATGCAAACTAAAGAAAAGGATGAAACTATTTCTATTGGATACAATGAAGATATTTCTCTCAACTACAAAGAATGATAGAGTGAAGACATCTCGGTTGAATACAATGAAGATATTTCTCTAAAACAGAATCAAAGTATATGTTGACAAGATTTTAAAGAAAATCTGACTCCGTTTTAACTACGGAAACTGCCGAATTCGGTTTTGTGTCTTCAGTTTTGCATGCCAAATCAGAAAAAATTAGGTTCAAAATGATAGATCAGGAATAAATATGAAAATTTTGGTTATTTCTCAGAATTTCATGTATTGTTCTCTCTTTTTAAAAATCAACATTTTGAAAATTTTCCACCCAAAGATGAAGTCTCAAGTGGACTTTTTCTATCTAACTCGATGGGGTCTATCCAGCTATAGCAGAAAGAACAAAACAAAAATTCTGCTCCGTTTTTGCATTATGGACATCTTACTAAAGAGTGCGACGAAACTGTACTTTACCGTGATAAAAACTTTATTTCTCAGCTGTTTTGTCTCTATAATCATACAGAATTTAACAAGTAGACTGTAGAGAAAATACGAAATAATGGCCTCCAGTTCCTCATCAACCAACCCAGCTTCGTATGCTGATACTCCTTTTCCCTCTCAAAAAGTGTTTACTACTTATTTTCCGTCTGACCCTATAAGGAGCACTCTTCGGGCCAATCTCTTTTAGGTACTGTTTGTCCTCATTGCAATCAACCCATCAAGGAGAGGGAAAGTTCTGGTGACCCTTTTCAGACTTCTTTACAAAAACTATTTCCCGGCGCTTATGGGTTGGGTGAGTTTGTCTTTCGAACGAAGCAAACCTTGGTTCCTCAAGGCTTTTATCCTCATGTGAATACTTTGGTTTGTGTTGGTTTGTGTCGCGATGAAATCACAAGTCCTTTTGAAGAGGAAATCGAAGCTATGTGGGGTCAAGCATTCATTTGTGGTTCGCTCGGGGGCATGTTGTTTTGTGGCAAAACGGGTTTCGCTGCTGCACATCATCATGCGCCTGCCACTGGCCATTTCATTTATTATTGTTTTACTCATATTGCCATCGATCATGAAGGATTTGTTGGCTCTGTTTACAGAACACGTAGTGGCATGGACGAAAAAACAACAGCATGTGGAGCTCTCGCTGCATTTGCTGCCGAACTTGCTTCGAATAAGTTGAATCTTAGCTTCGATGAAGACGATATTGAAATGAGTATGTTAAAGAAGCATATCATTAAGAAGGCTGGTCTCTCGACTAATGCTACGAATGCCCCGAATTTATTCAAGGTGACTATGGCTGCTTATGAAACAATTACAATTGATTTAGAAAGACACGTACGACACGATGCGGAAAAGTTTAAAGATCGTAAATATGCCTTGTTTACTGGCGTTCAAATACATGGACCAGATGGGTCCGATTATTGTTGGGTGGGAAAAGCAAGTTTATTAATTAAAGGAGTATTATCACCACTAGTTTTTTCAAAGAATACTGGTGTGCTGTCACCGACTGGACCACAAGCCATGCCACACTGACGGGGTGGAGGTGTTCTGGACTAAACTGTATTCTCTACTATTTCTATGAACTGTAGTACCCAAAGATCTATTCTAATAAAAGAATTTCTTCGGAACTGAATTTTTTTACGCTAGTTGGAGAACGTCCATGTAAAAAATCTAAGTATTTTAAAGTTTAGAAATTTTAGTTCACTCTCACAACTAGGTATGCACTAGTTACAGTTTTTACGGTTACACAGTTATGACAGTTGCAATTTTACAGTTAAGTAACTGCGTTAGTTTTTCGAGCCGTTTCTAACGTGGTTTTTTCTCCTGGGTCAGTACGTCTATCATCGATAGCAATGTCGAGACTAGAGATCAGCATGGGTCGGACCATGCCAGAAGATTCTATGAAATTATCGGGCCGAAAAGTCTTTTGGTCCGATCGGGGTCAGGGCCGTATCAAGGATTTGTTCTTGGGCATCACAACAGAAGGAGCAGGCCAATCTACTTAGTTAGCCTGTATAAAGCAAAGCAGGTTCAGTTTTCTGAGAAATATACATGAAAAATCTCTCTAGACACCAATAAACTTTTAAGAGTGGTTGGACCGGGCCGGACCAGGCAATTTCCAGGAGCGACTGGGTCGGGCGAAATGAATTTTAGGTTTGATCGGGCTTGGACGGAAGCCTTCTTCAGCGAGTTGATCCGGAAATTTTGGACCCGTGTACATCTCTGGCCGGGACATCCGTTTTCCAACGTAGTTTTGTATGCTGATTTCAATAGCGAAAATCACAAGTCTCTAGCTTTTGGGCAAATGAAAGTGTAGCCATTTTACTTTCTCAGCAGAAAGTAAGGTATTCAAGCTGAAAATAACTTATTATGCCTGAACGCCGTAACGTAGACTCAACTCAAACCAACTCTCAAATAAATGTTCACCTCGACTAGCATGTGATACAATCTAGAAAACCGACGTTACTTATCAGGATCATGTGACAGAGATGTAGGAAAAAACCGGAAGAGTCAAAATCCAACTAGAAAAAGTTTTCAATCTCTCAGCTGAGACGCCGTTCTTCCGTGCTCCGACAACCTGAAGTCGGTTATCGGAGAAAATAACACGAATCGGAGAGCTTAGTACTCACCTTAATCTTCTTCACTAATGAAGATGCAGTTATAGCGCAGGTCTCTATCTCATTTCCGTCAAACGTTATTCAAAATATGCCCACCAGCACTGTATTTGGGGATGGATAGTAGTTCTTTTCCTCTAAATGTACGAGCGTAGATTTAGGCCACCGAATGAAATTGAAATATGCATTGCTTTAATTCGTTATTGCTTTATTTCGTTTGGCTTATGACTGCCAGTTATATCTTGCTAAGAAGTTATTAAAAAAAATCCTTATGAACTTCAGACTGTTTAGTAAGTCGCAGACGTTTCGTTCGTTATTGAAATTAATCAGACAAATCGCTCCATGAACTATGAACGAAATTGGGAACCATTTCTTGAAGCTATTCAAAAGATGCCCACCAGCACTGTACTTTGAGAGGGATAGTAATAACGAATTCAGGCACTTGAGAGAGCTGTACATCGGACTAAAATCCTGTTCAATTAAATTCTTTACTTCACTATACGTAATAGATGCAAAGTTAGGATCTCGACAAACTCGCCGTCTCTCTCGAGTTCGATCAGTGACACTTTCTACATATAACATAGCTTGACGTATTTATTTTCCATTCACTTCCTTCTCTTCATTTTCATATTCTTCAAAAATTCCAATAGATCACTATCTGATAATTCATCGTCTTTTGCTAAGTCATTTAGCGCATCTCGAATGCGTTCTAATTGTTACCTATATTTTGCTTTTGCAGTATTTCTGATTTAATACGACCTTCCAAATCTCTCTGTCTCCTCAACAGCCAAAGTAGCAGTAATTCGAGTTGCCTGTGCCTGAGCCGCAACAACTTCCCTAGCAACGACTGGAGCAAGTCTTTCATTAATCAGCTGCTCGTTCTCGTCATCATTCAATACGTGGTTTGTATTCATAGTAGTAACATCTAAACCGTGAGCAAGATCAGAATCATTGTGCTCGGTGGCAGCTAAATCGTGTACAAAATCCAAGGCATCATCTTCCGATGCGAGCACAACCGGAGTTAGAATATAGTAAATTAGCAGAGTTATTACGTGAAATTCGAACATTTTGTGACTTTAAGTCAATAACATTAGCGTAAATCGAATTAATCTCGTTTGCTTGCATCATAAAGAAAAAAAGGTTTCCTTAAAAAATATTTCTTTCGAAAAACTGAAACTTTAATGGAAGACTGTCAAAATTCCGATCGAATCAGTCGTAGATATAATGTAAAGCGTTCTTATGTGATGTTTGTATAACAGAGAAAATACATAAAATATATCTTTTCTTCTTCATTTGATTCATTTTTTCCTATAAATTACTTTTTATTAGCTCTGATATATAACACATCAAAGAATACATTAACTGTGCTGATTAATAATAGGTAATATATATACTCTTTGGCCTTATCACTTGCTAATCGTAGACAAAGAGCAAACTGCCTATATGAGTGATTATTCCGAATTCGCTCGTAACAAACTGATTCACTCAGGCTTTATTAATAATTGGTAAAACGTTTACAAAAATGCTGGATGAAACGATAAGAAGAAGTTTTTCCTTTAAAGCTGAGATGTAAGTCGTGAAGTCCTCTATATTATTAAACATTGTGCAATAATTTTTATTTATTGTTAGTATAGATAATTGATGTAAACAAAATCAAGAAAGACAATTTGAAATTGATCACTTTTAAATTCTTGTTCGTAACGAGAATAGAACAAATGTTTACTTTCAGTGCTAGTGATGGCCATCATTAAATTCTCCTTTTCTTATTGTAATAAGGTGAGGTATAATAAAAGCGTGTTATCCTGATGCCATTTTCATTCAAGTATGACGTAAAAAACTGGTTATTTTCCTGCGTTCCTATTGTACAAGTGCGATGTATCACTTCCTTGCAACCGCTACCTCAATTACAACAGTTTCCCACGGTCGCTTTATGTACGACCAAGAGTTCAGATGGAAATAATAAATTGCTAGTAATGATGCTATTTTTTTCAATATGAAACGTACGTTTTCAACATGCTACGGTTTTCTATCTGATCTCTTTCCATATAAACTGTGCATATGGATATCAGACAACGAAGGCCAATTGATCACTTCTAGAGACGACGTCGCGTTGTGAAACAATATTAATTTCCCCGTTAGTAACTCAAAACGATATGCACTTGCACGAAATCAAACATTACGGTCATAGAACATCATCTTTCATTGTGGTCCAAATCGGCAACTTCAAATGTTAATGCACGTTTGCAAGCGTGAATTCGTTGGAAAATAGGTTCAATTCGTTCAAAAATATTAACATTACGAGAAAAATAGAAAAGAGACGAAAACTAGAGAGAGAAATAAAAGCCCAAATAAGCTATATGTATGTATGTATGTTACACTTAATCACTAGATCGACCAATAAATACTAAGGTACTGGTGAATCACAGATGTCATATCATAACGAAATTTTCATCCAACAAACTCTTTTATAACGATTTTTTGGAAATATAGGTAATTTAATGGGTTAACCCAAGGGTTACCCATGGGTGACCCGACAAAAATTGTTTTCGAATCTGGGTGGGTGGGTCAGGGTTGTGGTCGTTCAAATAGTCAACCCAACGTGTGTCGATTCTGAACAACTTTTGCACTCAGAGTATTGCTTCAAAATGCCTGGTTCTGACGAAACTAGGCGCAAGGTTATGTAAAACAATCTTCGGTGAGCCAAAAACCAGCGATATTTTCGAGTTTTTAATTTTTTCTTCGAGCATTCCCAGTTTGTAGAGGACACTTCGAAGTGTGTGTTCTGAAGCTTTTTTGGGTTACTGAAATTATTTGGCTGAGAAAAAAATTAATTGCTTAAAATAATATTCCTAAATTTTCGGCTTGCCGGACTTACCAAGCGACCAATATCAAATTTTAAAATTTTTAAGGTAGTCCATATTGTAGCTCGTGAAATTTTCTGTCAGATGAGGTATTCCTTGAATTTCATTAAAATCCTATTACAACGGCAAAGAAGAGGAAATGAAAGTTATTCACGAATTTGAAATCAGATACAAGCCTAAACATGCTGTCTGGTGGTATACACGTGATACATTTTTCTATCGTCTGTTGAACCGAGGCCTACGTCAACGAAATATTGAACTGGTATTTTTTATTTGGCTTCTGTATAAAAGACGTCTATTATCAATTGAAAAACAGCATGAAAAATTTAAATCAGAATATCGGGACAATCCAATCATAAAATTGTTTCGTGGACAAGTAATGTCATTGAGTGAAATTGAAAACTTGAAACATCCTATTACTTCTGTCGTGAAGATAAATTGTTTACTGTCAACATCACTCAATCGCAGTGTATTATTCAAATTTCTAAAAGAATCCCAAAAACTGGAAGGACTTGAACATGTGTTCTTTGAAATTGATGTTGACGTTCGTAAACAGTCATGTCCATTCAGTGATATATCGCGTTTAAGTTATTTTCGCGAAGAAGCTGAAATATTATTTATGATTGGTGTGGCATTTGATATGACTAGACGTGATGTAAGGTACGATGAAAATGACAAAGTCTGGATAATTAAATGTTCTTTAGAACCTAATTATGATGATCGAACTATAGGTCAAACTCCGAGAAGAATTTTAAAAAACTGTATCAGCACCCTTACACATTTTTTTTTCAACGAATTCCTGGGGCTCGATGATAGTAACAAAATATTCAATGAATTAATTGATATATTTCCGTTGGAAAAAGAATGGATATCAGCCTATAAACTATGTTCTCTGGCTGAACGTGATTGGTTGGGTTGGGAGTCCACTGGAGCACTATCAAAGTATGATGAAGCAATAAAGATTTGGCTTCATTATCTCAAAGGTGATGAATTAAATTGTTCAATTAATATTGGTAAAATTTACGAAGAGGTGGGTAATATTTCATCAAGTATAGATACTGATCTTGCTCTGAAGCATTTTGATTTGGCACTTACTTATCTACAATCAGCACTTGAAAGTCGTGGTGTTGGCGGCACTACAAAACAGGCAAAAAAGCTTATATTAGATAAATTAGTTAGCATATACGAGCAGAAAATGAGTAACAATGATAATGAAAACTTAGAATATACTTCAATGATCAATAAATACAAGGAACAACGAATTCAGATAATTGTGGACTCTGTTCTTGATTTCGACGATGTTAATTCATTGACTGAATTAGCTGATCTTTATAAATCACTAGACAAATTCGATGATGCATTAATGAATTATGAAAAAGCATATGAAGCTGCAGTCAAATCGCTTGCGCCTACATCATTCTTTTGTGAACGTATGGTTGAAATCTTAATTGAACATACGAAAGTTTATCAAACAGCACTTAAATATCAATCGATAGAACATGAGAATATATTGAAGGTGTCTGCATCAGAAATATGCGACGATGAGGATGAGGTTAAATCGAAAAATGGTCAAAGCGCTGAAAGTCATGCTAAGGTGGCTGAGATCTATATTCTACTAGAGCAATATGATTTGGTAAAAGAACATTTAATGAACGTTAAACAATTTTATGAAGGATCGGGAAAAGATGGCATAGCAGAACTCATATTGACCACGGAAAAGTTAGCTGATGTTGAAGCAAAATTAAACGAAAACGATTCAGCAAACGAACATTTGAATATGGTATTGAAATTACATCAAGATGCTTTACAAGTACTGGAAAACAACCTTGATGAGTATAGTGAGATGCTAGTAGCCTCTGAGCAACGATTAATGGTCAAAATAAACACTAGTTCCGACGCAAGTTCCATGTTTTTTTATCGCTCTTGGGTAATTCCCGTAGTTCCCATAATTGCATACTGTTAATAGTGCATCATATTATACTATCTTACTCTTATTAAGATGTAGCACAAAAAGTTCTCAAAAATCTGCCAGTATTCCCAAACATTGTCCAAAATTCCGTAAATGGTATTTGAATAAACAAAATAGATGGAAAATCTTGCTCAAATTTCTCAAATTTCCTCCAAGTTCCAAAATGACGTTAAAAAGATGATACGATTATAATCTCATTACGTAGTATAGTAGTACAAGTATAGTACAGAAAAGGATATACACGAGTAAATGGCATAGCCATTGTACCGTTCATTTTCTACATGTAAAAAGAGGATGTGAATAAGTAGAATCGATACGGCTTCGAGTGCGTAACAAATTGATAAGGAAATATAATTTGAAAAGTACTTTCTTTGTACAGAAAATTCTGCTATATTGTTGAAAATCGAGGCTTCATCCACAAAATGTCCGGGGGTATTTTCGATATCTCGATAAATAACACTCCGATCAAGATGAAATTTTGATCGTTTTTTGGCCACATGAGATTTGATATTTGGTAAAATAATGGACCTGAAATATTGCATCGTGGAGGAGAAATTTAGAAAATACGCGAAAATGTCCTGGGATATTTTTAAGAAAGAAGTGTCCAGTGAGATTTCTACATGCGTCTTTTCAATGAAAATTGAAACAAAATTCAACTTATTATATACCGTTCGATTCGTCGTAGTGTGCTCTATCCACCTTTAATAAAACTTTGGTTTCTGTTTGTACAGGTAACTGGAGCAGGTAAGAAAGGAAGCCTGTGAGTACCACTATCGATTCCAAAATACACTATAGGTTGCTATTTTTTTAATAGCTCGATAACAGCATAACATAGAATGTTACGGTCTTCAACAATCAAAAGCGGACACCTGAGGCTAGTTTTCAAGAAGCAAAAATGGTTGTTCAAAAATTTATGGTTGTTAAAAACACTGGAATGGATCAATTTATTTTCATTAATATATAATTCGAAGTGCCCTCTATAAAACTGAATAGAAACAATATCTCGGAAATCCATGAGCGTTTTTCCCGAAACCTTAGGACTCGTCTGCCGTTAGGTTTGAAACTGTCAGAAATGAATGTAAACATAGGTTATCGACTATGCTGAATGTCGCGGAAATGTTAATTTTCAGAAAAAACTGCGAGGAGCGAGTGAAACCTTTACTAAGTGGAACGAGTCATTTCTGGCTTTTTTCATCAAAAATTAGAAAATTCATAACACAGTGACAATTCATCCAAAATGTCACTTCAAAATGTCAGGAAATACTCTATTTTATCCGCTCATTTTGATTCTGTACTTAAAATCAGTAAAAGAAAATATTCTTTTAGTTTCAAAGCTTTCTTAGAAAACTTTCTAAAAACCAAAGTATTTTCTGTTGGTTTTTCAACTTTTATTAAGCTTTACGGTATGCTGCAGATAAAATAGAGTATTTCCTGACATTCTGAAGTTGACTGGATGAATTGTGACTGAGTTATGAATTTCCTAATTTTTGATGAAAAAGCGAAAAGTGAGTTATTTCACTTACTGAAGGTTTTCACTCGGTCCTTGCAGTTTCTTCTGAAAACTAACATTGCCACGAGATTTAGCATAGTTGATAACCTAAGTCTACATTCATCTTGACAGTCCCAAACCTATTGGCAGAGGAGTCTCAAGACTTCGAGAAAAATGCCTATAACTCCCGAACCATGGATATGTTGCTTAGATCCGGTTTTGTAGAGGACACTTCGAACTATATATCTATGAAAAAAATTGTCAAGTTTATTTTTTCTTTATAGTTCAGATAGTGACGTATATTCCTTCGAAAGATACTATACTTATGCATGAAAATAGTAGCTCAAGGGGGGGCTCCCCAGTAAACATACGCTCAAACTTCGCCAGTTTGTAGAGAATATCTTCGGTGGTATGCCTATGCAATAAAAAACTCGTTGATAAAATATTGACAGAGTTATTGATTAATGAAGTTCAAAATTAACTGAAATTTTTGGTTTGACAGGTACCTTTTAAAATCTTTCTAGTTTTCGATATAAATTTTATATTCAATTGACTGGGATGTGGCTTTATAGAAGATATTCTCTACAAACTGGCAAAGTTTGAGAGATTTTAAAAGATACCTGTCAAACCAAAAATTTCAATTAATTTTGAACTTCATTAATCAATAACTCTGTCAATATTTTATCAACGAGTTTTTTATTGCATAGGCATACCACCGAAGATATTCTCTACAAACTGGCGAAGTTT